CAGGGCCCGCCCCCACGGCCTCGGATCCCCCCTCATGCGAGCCGCCGCCGCCAGCGTTGCGGTCGAAGGCGGTGGCGCTGGCGGTGTATATTTCATGCGCAGACCGACCCACTCGTCGTCCGGCGGGCACCACTTGCCCTTCTGGCAGCACCAGAGTGCCGCCGAGAAGGTGCCTTTGCAGCAGTAGGCCACCTTCTCCTCGTCCCACTAGATGAAGGACAAGGTGCGCAACAAGCTCTCGAAGCGGCAGCACGAGGACGAGGCGAGCTGGTCGACGCGGTCGTGGCTGTCGCTGCAGGCCCAGCGCATGTCAGTCGCGCTGCAGCTCGCGGCGGCGGAAGAGATTGCGACCGAGCTCAGGCTCGCCGCGGCGTCGGAGGACGCCGCCGTCGCCTAGACCCCCCTGCGTCACTACGTGCCTCCCCGTCTTTGTAGCCTGGCGTTTGTGCCCCGTTTGTGCCGCGTCCCGTGCCCCCGAGTTCATTTAATTACGACGCTGGACGCGCCCGCTGGACGGCAAAATGTTGGACGGGTTTTTAGGGTCGATTCCGCAGGGTACGGGATGCCTCGATCGTCTCGCCCTCCCTCACTGCGCTTCTCGCCCGGCCCGGGCGGCCCTGCGGACCGCCAGCTGAGGAGCGCGCGAGAAGCTCGATTAAGTATTGTATTGGCCAACAGACGCATTCATTACTTACTCGCTCGAGGCGTGCTGCAGTGAAGACCAGTCTTATTGTACTCTCCTGAGCTGTGAACAGACGCACTTGCCCAAATCCGCCAGGTTGGGCGTGCTTTCACACAGCCTCACGAGAGTAGTCTTATTGGAGGTGGTCGATTTACATGCATAGTTTGGCCCCTCGAGTTGGTGTGTGACGAGACGAGTTGTTCGCCTTCGCAGCGAGCAGCGAGCCACCCGCCGCAGACAGCCGGAGGCCGCGGCACACTGGCTGCGCCGCGGTCCCGCACCCGTCGACGAGGCTCCCCCCAGTGGCAGACCGCCGTAGCGACGCCTTGTCGTGTTGTCGATCGAGATGAGCGTGCTTGAAGCTCGCCCACCTTCTCCCCCTGAGAGTTGGTTACCGAGTGGGATCAGCTCCCCTCCTTGGGTTCTCAGCCGCCACACCACACCCAAGACCCAACATCACAGGCGGGATCAGAGTTCAGAGAGAGACTCCACACCGGACACCGCCCGGGCACAGACTCCCTACCCGTCGGATCACACAGGGCCCCCTTTGGAGCAGCCCACACACAATCACGCATCGGCAGATTGAGCGCCTGAGTCAGGCAGACAGCAAACTGGCGGAGGCATGAATTCCAACTCGCACGTCCCGCCGTTTCTCGATTTTCGGCCTCCAACCAAGACGCCCCAATCACGATCGCCTTTGCACAAGGCCCTGTCTCGCACGACGCTTTCACGCACAGGAATGCCTGCACAACCCACCTGCGCCAAGCCGTCGAAGGCATACCTGGCGGAGTGCAAGAAGGTCCGCTCGCGCGCCCCAGCTCCTCGCCTCCAGCTCCCCCCCGCGCGCCGTCAAAAACGCGCGACCGCCACCTCCCGGTCGTGGAGGCCCCTGATCCGCACGAGATCCGCTTCCGCCTGCTCCACCCTCGCCGCCCCCCGCCCTCCTTCCATCCCCCTCAGAAGCTCGACCCTGAGACCAAGCAAGACGACGGGGGGAACCCCATCGCCGACGGCCTCAAAGGCCTGGCGAACGCGATCGACAAGTACCTCCTCTCGCTCAACGTCGGAAAGTATGAGGGCCCCCCGACTGACCCCGACGAGGACGGATGCGTGTACCGCGAGACCGGCAAGGGCGTGCTGCGCGCCAAGGTCAACCCCTTCGGCGTGAGCGTCGCCCGGGTGCGTGTGCCCCTCGCCGCCCTCTCATCGCGCCGCCCCGATGGGCAAGACGCATCGACAGGTATACCTCCCCGACAGGTCACCATCGGCTGGGTGAAGTCGAAGGAGAAGAAGGTGGGCGAGGATTGGGAGGTCGTCCCGCCCCCGGTTGGCGAGGGGCTCGTCCAGTATGTGAGAGCCTCCCCCCTCCCCGCCCGCTCCACAACCCTCTAAACCCGCGCCGCAATGTTTTGACCCCCCCCCCCCGTGCGCTCTCCGCCGCCGCCGCCCCCGCCGCCCCGCCCGCCCCCTGCCCCTCCTTGACCCGCG